GGCTGCCCTGGCTATGTGCAAATTGCCCGCGGAAAGCACACCCGGGGGGCTGGTTTCGAGAGATACCCAACGCCGCTCTCGTTCCTCGTTGCCCCCCCCCTCCCCAGGTAGGGCAACCCTCCGTTTTAACTCGCAAGCCCGCTCCCAACTTCTGCAAATAGCAAAGGGTCAGGTTCTCCAAACGGACGGAAGCAGGCGTTTGTAACACTGAGGTAGTTTAACCTAGAAATACGCTAGAAAAAAAAAAAAACAAAACAACAAAACCAACCCCCTCCCCCCCTCCAAAAAAAACCCCCGCAAAACCGGGAGAGGGTTTCCTTATGAGCTCCCGAAATAGTGTGCGGGGAGGCACCTGCTTGCCGGGGCACTCGGTGCTCCTTGTCCCATTCCCTGTGTCCCCCCACCAAAAAACATTCCCACCGTGGACCGCTGAGAAATGAGTCCTGAAATACTTTGCCATGTATCAAACAGTCCCATTGGTTTTATACTAAATACTGCCTATTCACAAAGGCGTTTTTAAAAGCCGTGATTTTTTAAGATCATATGGAACGGGAACTAGAAAATTCAGTTGAGATCATTCCTGTGCTGCCAATATCTTCTTTGTATCTGGCAAAAAAAAGCGCTGAGTTTTATCAGGTATTTGCTAACAACCACTGCATCAACAAAAAGAGAGAGACAGGGAGTTTTGTTTTCACATTTCCTTAGAAAAATTCATTCGTGATGTTTCATCTTTAGGATCAGGATTATTATTTCAAACCAAAATGATCATTTCCATGCATTATTTTTCTTTCTGAAATAAAGAACGATTTTGAGAAACGTAGAGAAAAATACACAACAACTGTAATAAGGTGCCATACAGACTCCTTGTCCAAACGCTGTTAGGAAAGAATCTAAATCTTAATCTAAAAGGCCAATTTTGTTTGATTGATGCAGCAGAAGTACGTAATTCAGATACCCGGTAGTGCTGCAACTGTGATACTTTTCTCGCTTCTCTGGAAATACATATTTTTAAGAGCTAAAGAGTACAACAAAGCACTAGATAACTCCAGTCAGCAAGTCCCAACTTATCTGTTTAGTCTTTTTTCTAATGTAAATGTTTGTATTTCTGTTTCTATTGTCTGTGACTTTTAACTCAAGTTTCTTTTCTGTGCTGTGTAATTTTTATACTCGTTTCCAATATTTTCTTCACATGTCCCGTCGCTGAGGTTGCCTTCGGGGTAGTTTGAAAACGGTGATTTAAAATCTTTGTACTGTAAGGGACAACTGACCCTGGATTCATGAAGGGTTTTCATCCCTCAGAATGCTAGCATGTATTTCCTTAAACAAGCATGCAAACATTTGCATCACGGGGAGGTGAGGGCAATGCCCCAATTTTCCCCTTTCCCTTTCTCGTGTCTTTAATACATGGGCATGCATTAAGGTTTTACAGTAACTTTTTAAGAACCGGGTGAGCGCATTGCTTTCGCAGTTGCCAATCTTGCGAGCCTGCGTGCCTCATGACACTATGCCATGCAAGGAGAAAACGCACCAGCTTCAACGTTTTGAGCAGGTCTCTTTTATGGCAAGATCAGGGAAATGTGAAAAGCGCAGGCCACAGAAACACATTACGGCACACAGAGAAGAGAAAAAAAAAAAAACCAAACACAAAAGCCTGGGCCACAGAGGAATGGGAAAGGGGAAGTTGAAATAGATACGTAAAGAGGGAATTTTGACACAGTGATTTTAACTTTGCATGTGGAAGTGAGAATAAGGGTTATCGGTGACAAATGGGAGGGCACTGAAGTGAGGCACGCAGCCTCCTATGGAAGGAGAGGCTGTGAAATACCTGAGACTGGAGACCTCTCTCGTATTGTGGGAGGAAGCCATGGCTGGGGAAAAAGCATCAGAGACCGCTCAAGTGAAGGAGCCGCTGGTCCTGTCTGGAGAGAACAGCATGATTAGAAACTAATAGAAATAAGACCGGGCTGTGACAAGTTTGATCCTATTATAACTGCATGGACATAAGCTAGAAAATGCGAAGAGGAAGGAAAAATATCGAGCTGCAACTCAGAGGGCATGATGCAGGACTACTTCCTCTTAGAATGTGTAAAAGAGGAAATAAAAACTAGCTAGATTTTTTTTTTCTTTGGTTTTTTTTTTGGTAGTAGCCCTGAGGTCATTACTGTAGATTTAATTGGGGGAACAGCAGCAGGATCTAAAAAAAGTAAGATAGAGGACCTGATCCAAGCTCTTACTTTTGCCGGAGTAAATCTAGAGGCACAGCAGACATCCACTCAATTATAGTGGGGTAAAATTCTTTTGAGGATTCAGTCCTGCACAAGAAGAAAGATAAAATTAGATTTTTCATAGTTGAACCAATGTGAACGTTGTAGATACAAGTCAGAAAACTTAAGGTTAGAAGTCTACATATCTCTCAGCGCATCACATCAGAAATGCAGCGAGTGCTGCGTTCCTAAATATTTGTTTGATAGATGCTGGCACCAAGGAGCTCCCGCGCGATCATTTCAGACGAGGTGAAAGCCTTCATCTGAGCGATTGCAGATTTCATTAGTTTAGATCACGATTTCCATCCATCAGTTTGCGGGCGAGGTCTTAAGTCAATGATTTGCTTTCACACTTCTGAAGGTGAAGAAGAAATTGTTCCGTAAGTTGTGATTAAATGTTTGACTGAGGCCTGCTTCTCCAAGGATTGAGTCTGAGTTTATTCTGGGGCAGCTCTGTGCAGAGCGGCAGGAGGAAAAGAGAGGGAACTGGTGCAGCTCTGACCCTCTGCATCCATGAGACAATTGGCTTGGTTTTGTTTTTCTCCTGAATTTTACATTTCCATCATTGTGCTGACTTTGCTCTAGCTTAAAAGTAATGCTACTGATGTAAATCAGACCAGAATCGGTTCCTGTTACTTGAATTTATTTATTGACAGTTACAGAAGTATATTTTGGAAAGCTTAAGTTCATGTGTTTTTCGTGTCGGAGTACACGTTATGCTGGGTATTTCAGAGGTGCATCACTGTAAAAACTTCTCTGTAGCTCTGCAAACTAGGAATGGAAGCAATTCCTGTTTTCCCCAAACCGCTTCTTACTCTGCACAGATTTTTGCTGTTGCTGCCTTTTCCTATTTTATCACATTACTTGTTGATCTTCTGTGCCCCAAATTAAATGTCACGGAAGGAAGCTGAGGCTTCTGCTCCTTGATTTCGTAGGTGGTGGCCTTGGGAGACGTGCCCGATGGGACGCTGGTAACGGTGATGGCTGGAAACGACGAAAACTACTCTGCAGAACTCAGAAACGCCACAGCCGCCATGAAAAACCAAGTAGCAAGGTTCAACGACCTCCGGTTCGTGGGTAGAAGTGGAAGAGGTATGTGTTTGCTCTCGACTACACTTCGGTCATGTTCACCAGTTACGGCAAGTTCTGGTTATGTGGAGGGAATTTGAAGATGGCGTCTATCGAGTTTTCTGTGGCAGGGAATGCTGCAAGATCTGGTGTAGGCTGATTCCAAAGGTGTAGAATTAGCTATATGGTTTTCTCGCTTTATCCTAGCCCATCCTCCGCATCACTTCAATTTTTGAACAGTGGCATCTCATTTGAAAAAAAGAAAAAAAAATCACACAGACAGTAAGTCACATTTTGACTCCAAAAGCCATCCCATCAATTTTAGAACATCACAATATTACCCATGTTTAAGTTTAAATAACGTATTTTCAATTTAAAAAGAGAATTTTCAGTTTGTGTAAGGACTCATGACCATCTCGAGGCTCCCAGGCACTCTCTGCAAAAGCTGGTCTCTGTAACAGAGAGAGTCAACCTAAAATTACAAGTAATTCCCACAGAGATCTAAGCATTTTCTGGTGACCTGATGAAGGCATAGGACACTTTTTCTGACCTATCTCTCTCTGAAATAGGTATAGAACAAAATGCAGTAGTCCTGTTATTTAATGTGCTCCTGCAAGGCGCATAGAACAGAACAGATGAGCTTAATATCTGACTTGCTGTATCACTGTGATAACCAGTAATTACTAGTACCTAGTAAATAAAACAGCGTTATGAGCGTAAGTAACAAATAAGAGTCGAAGCTGACTTAGGCTAGAACTATATAAAAATGTTGTTAGGAAGCTGCAAACAGTAGCTGACACGTGCGGCTCGCACCGCGTGTGAGCGGGCAGGTGTACAAAGCTTGATCCGAAAGCCCGTAAAACCGACAACAAGGACCCTTCCCAACTTCACTCTTTGGCTTCGGTCCATAATCTGAAACCCCATAAATTCCAAGCAATCACGTTTGCCTTCCTATTACAAGATTGCTTGAAGCGCTCCTCTTGCATTACTGCCCTTGCTGCTGTGAGTGGAGTCCCTTTGTGTGGGTCAAACCCACAGACGAGAGGCTGGTGAGCTGTTGCTCAGCCCCTCTCTTTTAAGGTCAAGAATGAAAAACTGTCGCATCTTCCATGTGACTTCATATGACATTTACTTCTGTGTTTTTCTTCTGTTTCGTTTAATTCTTTAAGTAAACTGGGAATGCAACATTAGGGTGTTCCAAAGACAGCAGCCTTATTTAGGGACAATTCAGTGCTGTAACACTCAATGACCAGAATTACTGTGTCTACTGCACTTAGGTAGGTTTCTGCTTACTGCCTTTTTGAGCAATTTGTGCGCTGGTGTCTCTCTGAACCAGATTAAATACTCGGGGCTCACTGACCCCTCCTCAGCATTTTCCCTTCCCTCTCTCCCCATGTGAGCACCCGAGCCACCTCCTTGATGCGTGGCTGCATCTGCGGCTCTTAGGAACACGAAGGGGGTTCCGAGTGTGCTTCGGGAGAGTTACTAAGGTGACCCACTTCTGCTTGCTTGGTCTCAAAATGTTTTATTCCAAATGGGAGATGTGTCAGGCCTCAGACCGAGGAAGTTATCCTTGCTATACACAACAGCCTTTGTTTGCCTTTGAAGTGAAATGAATCTGTAGATACTCTTCCAACATAAATACAGTCAGTGATTGTGGAAGAACACGGCCCCATTGAAACATAGATGCAAGTGGTCAATACATTTGAAGAATAAAATACCGACCGGGTCCCTCTGTATCCTGCAGCATTTTTAGCTGAGGATACAGAGGGAGATGTCTTTTAAATTGTGTTGTTTGGGCTGTCTTCAAAATGCGCTTGGTGGAAAACACCCGCAGCTGAGAATGTAGCTTTGTAATGCTAGCAAAGAATAATAATAGGGTAATGCAGAGAAAATTATATCCATTTACTGAAAACATGAGAGATGCTGTAATGTCTAAAAGTATCAGTCATTAAACATGTTCATTTGTTATATTAAAGGTTCCACCTTTTCAGTAAATGGAATTTGCATTATGATTCAGAGATGACTGTTTAGAAGATTCAAATGAATAGCTGGCAAAGTGGCGGAGAAGCTAATAAAAACAAACCTGTCGTTCAGTTCCTGGCCATGGTAGTGAAGCTAGAAATCATAACAGTGAACTGTGTGAGTTTCAAGGTCAAAATCCAGCGGCTGGGGGAGAACAGCCCCTATTTGTGCAGAAAAGCTGGGTGGGGAGCGTCGTCGAGCCCCTCGCCATAAAAGGTAGCCAGTAGCCAGTCACCCGCGCAGGGATATAGACCTTGGCTGTTGTCTGATATTCCGGTGCTCGGGATCCTTTAAGTGACGGAGCGATTTGGGAACGCCGCATGCTATTAGTCAGTCTTGGAGGTTAAATCTCATCACCTCCATTGGCTGCCCATCTTTGGGGCGAGTGACTAATGTATGCTTTTGTTTACTCCTCGAACAGGAGATTGTTTTCCAAAGGTGGGGATTGTTTGCATTTGGTCCGGGATTTCTGAGGTGCTGTTCTGTTGAATTTGTATAAAGCTTAAAGCATAAGGTAGCTGCTTCAAAGAGCGTTGCTTCCTTTGATACTTTGCCGGAGGAAAATTAACCAAAACCTTGTTTGCTGTGTAATATTTGAGTTTGAGTAAGTTCAGTTGCCACCAGTGATAATGCCATGCCAAGAAAGTTCACGTCGGTTACGGTCAGCGTGGGTGCTCTTTGTGTACCTCGGGTGATTTAAAACCACTGCTGGAGAATAAGGAACAGCTTTGACCGGTGACACTTTCCTGTGCATCAGTTGTCGCCCAGGTGTAACCATCCCCATTAAAAGCCTTGCCAAACCGATGGGAAGCCACCGCTTTCTCCCTTCTAAGACAGTAGGGAATCATTATTCTTGACATTCTTAATTAAGAGTTTAAGTTGTCTTCTGGGGGCTTTAAATGAAATCCAGCACGCCAGCCTGATGGCCCTCTCAGACCTCAGGCTGTTGTCCACGTTTTCATCTCAGTGAGTAAGCGGCTCTGCGCTGGCTGTGAGAGAGTTGCAGTGATTCCCCCCATTCGGGGGGGTCCGATGCTGCCTGGCTGGCAGAGCAGATGCACCAGCCAAATACTGGCTCAAGCTTAAAGAACCAAACTGTGCTTCAGCATTCGCTTCGTACCTAATAGCAAGCGGTCACCCCCGTTGCCCTGCCTCTGCCCCTCGTTCAGAATTTGAAAAACCACCCACTTGATTTTCTTGACACCGGGAATGGGAGCTGAGAATATCGCAGGTCGCCCAAAACATCGAGATGTTGTATAAAAGCAATTTGGCTCGCTTTCCTGAACGAAACAGATTTACATTGGAATTGGCTGGGCTCCAGAGTTACTATTCCTCACCCTAGTTTGAGAATGCTACTGGGAAAACCTGCCCGTCTGGCTTGTAAACCCGAGTAAGTAATTTCTGAAAGAAAAATGTAGCTTAAAACTTCAACCAATCTCAGCCCTCCTTGCCTGATTACCCAGTTAAAAAAAAAAAAATCTTTATTTTTTTCCCCTCCATTCATAAACACTTCAAACTTCAAACTGCTACTACTGCAAAGTACCCTGCTTTCTTAGTGTGTAATGAACGGGTTTATTATGAAATAAATCTGATGCAAAAAGCCTGACACCATAGAAGTTCATTGGATAAAATTAAAAATAAATAGTTATTTTGGAGAGGGAAAGCTTTGTGGCTCAGTAAGCATTACATATTTTCCTCATGGAATCATTAATCCCGGTAACTATCTTCTTTGTAGAACGTAATATTAAAAAAACCCCAACAAATAAACATGTTTTCCAGATGAAAATAATTATTAATAGGTTATCATAATAGTAGCTAATGGGGAAGTGTCTTGGCTTGCTGCAGAAGACCTCAATCTAAAGCTGCGATCTGGAGCTGGAGCTTGACGATAGCTTTCCAGCAAGGCCTTTTTAAAAACTGCATCTTGGAAAGGACTGAAAATGAAGCCTACGTACATATTTCCTACCAGCTATTGGGATTAGAGTCATGAATACGTGTTGCGATAGTTCTCAATTTCCGCAAAGCCAAGGCAAGGACTCCTTTTTCATGGGAGTAGCTGGTAGGAGAACACAGGAGAGAGAGATTACCAAGCATAATCAGAGGTTTCTGCCATCAGGACTCTTCCTTCTGGATGTGATTTTGGGGAACAAAAATCAATTTAAGCTGGAATCTCAAAAATACTTGAAACACCCAAGTTACTGGCCTGGATTCTGAGTCCAATTATTTTTATTGGTCTTCTGAAGTCAGAATTTTGCTCATTCCATGCAGCTTCAACTTGTGGTTGCACTATTTAAGCACCTTGTTAAAAATTGTTTTATTTTTTATTTAAACGCATTCAAAATTATCAAAGCGTGTGCAAAACAGAGAAGGATGCTATTCAACAGGATCATAAAATCAGTATTAAGCAGCCGGCCAGGTCCTGGTCCAAGCCATTGGAATGCTTCAGGGGACGTGATGTTGGATACCAGAGTAACAATGAACCGCGCTTGCCAGACGGGGCGAAAATAGAAGAAATCCAACTGCAATCAAACCTGAGAAAAGAGCAAATTGATAAGGTTTAAAAACAACCCCTTATTTATACTTTGGATTGATAAATACGGGGCACTAGCAGGATGCTGTGGCCAGCGGGAGGGTGGTGTGGCTGCAGAGAAATGGGGGCGACTCCTTTGAGCCACCTTGCCACACCGCCCCTCCTCACCCTGGGTGCGTGTTAGAGGGTCGACGTTTACCACAGGACCCTCCTCTGTCCAGTCCGGTCTGGATGGTGAATTTTTCTCTAAAAGACAGAGGCCAGAAGCAGTAATTTTATTTTTAAGTGGCTTAGGGTTACTTAGCCATCCCATTAATTTTATCGAGATTTCTGTGTGAACCGAGCGGCCGTGGAAGAATTCAGCGTGCAGACTCCCCGTGCTGGTACAGGGGAGCCGATGCCTATTTCAAGCCGAAAAGCCTGGGGTCGGCGTCAAATTGATCGGCAAACTCAGCCCTTTTAAGACAAC